GTCAGTAGGGCTCGTGAATACCCGATCGTTAATACTGACATTACCGGTCTTGACATCACAGTGGGCCTGGATTCCTTCATCCTGAAGGATCCTGTTCCCATCTGTGATAGGGCTCCTTTTTGTTCGTGAAGCAAGCTGCGCGAACAGGAAATGCTGCAACCGCATAGACGGATGTGTGGCAACGTAGGGCTCTTCAAAATTTCACACATTCAAACGGATCTTTTCATCGCCTTTCGCTGCATCTTTCCAATGTGACATGGATACCACTCAATTATCCGCTTTGTCCACTTTAAGATGCACCTTTTACTCGAAATTCTTAGGTACCAATGGCAAATAAGTTTAAAAATAAAGTGATCGCAGACAGGAAGCTACACGTTAAAATGATCGAGGCTCCAGTACTGAATTTCCAATGGTACAGTGCATGGTTGTCAACATTCTACTGATCAGATAGACAGCGTATAGTATTGCTGCGACCCGATAAAAAAACTTTCAGGATGGAAATTCTGCCATTATGTGTCTTATCTTCGCAACCATCAGTAATGCCGGAAAGATTTCACTCTTCCTCAGTTCCGAGCATGGATTGATTCTTTTGCTATGCTCATACATTTTGAGGTATATTGTTGTCAGTTGCTTTTCGTTCAAATCTTTTGTAGGAGCGTGAACGTCGGCTGAGGGAAACCATTGAAGCGGCACGGCGAGAAAGTATGGAGCCTCCCGAAGCACCGCCGCCTACACGTAAAATATGCACCGTTGACCGTTTCAAACGCCTCGGCTCACAAATTGCCAAATATACATGGAAGGCGCCGTTTATGCGTGAATTATCCTATGTTCGTTACCAGTGTCATGATTTTTACATAGTTTGGCGCGTAAAAGTAGCGCTACCTTTTTTTTTTCGGGAATTCATCACCAAAAATTGGGTCACTAGTAATTCTGTGATTTCGTTCGTTCGTTTTCATGGTAAACTGGTAGCGGCACATATTATTATGAAAGTGTCGAAGTTGAGATGCTTCTAATCAATTATTGAAAGAAGCAACTAACGACAGCCTTGCCAGCAGACGACTGCTACTGACACTCACTTACTACTCGGACTAATACCGAGTGCCTTTACCTCATAAGGGGACGTTAGTTTCGATTTGTGATTTACATAATTGTTTTCGGCTGTCTTTTCGTTACTACACAGCTCAAGTGAATTAACAGGTAGAAAATTTACAGGATTCACAGGGAGAGTTGGCTGAAGACCGCAGGAGTCGTCGGGCTACGTTTATCGATAATTTTGTGGCAAATCGTCTGTACAGCAGCGGCCCGATTGATACATTTGCGCATGCTACAGCGGAGAGCACCAGAAAGAATAACAAAATGGTAATTTTATTTTGAACCATTAGGATCACTTAGATGTTCGGGAAACTGAGAACTTCTAAGAGGAGCACTTAAACGGGCAATTATTAAAACTCCGGGGGTTGGTTGGGGCGAGTTATGATAATTGTGGTGTACTTTCTGAAGCGGCGGAATAAGAATTGTGATGAATAAGAGAGGGCCATGGACCGAGGGATGCCGGTTTAGGTCGTAAAGGGTCGTTAGAAAAGACAGAAAACTAGGATATTGATTGGAGAGGAGTTGAGAATTTTGCTTAATAAGAACTGAAAATAGGGGTAGAGCGGTTTCTAAGGAGGGACATTGTATGAGCTTTTGATGCTAAACGCTAAAAAAAGCCTGGTAAGCTGGTGCTCTCAAAATCTCATCGAAAAAGAAAATCCGGTGCTGTGATAGTACGACTGTGATTTTCGCAACTCTCACCCAAACTCACAAACGTGTAAATTTTCATGAATGTTATTACTGCCCACAAAGCCTGACGCAGTTTTGTCAGTCTTTTCGAAAGCTGCATGCTTCATTATCATAATTAATGTTTTCTATAAACAAGCAGAGCAAAGCAAGCTCTTATGTCTGTTTTTCCAAACACTCTGATTGCAACATCCACCAATAGTTGTCAGCAAATTAAATTGAGCAGCCTGACCAGTCCATCGGATTTCATATTTTTTAAAAATATTTCTTGTATTAATAAGTTGCGGCAGCTGGACTCAAACGAGTTAAAACAGCTGAAAAATAGTATATTCCGGTGTGACCTTTGACCCCAGCAATTTCTTTCAGCTCGAACTGAAAATCGATCTCAACGATTTATACCGTCATCGCAGCTCCAGCTTACAAGTTCCATGTGAAATCGCATCAGTCCCGCGTGCAGTGATGTCAGAGAAACGACGCAGCGTAACCAATCCATGGGAAAGCCAAACCACGCACAGAAGTGTCCTCAGCGATCATTTGTTCGATTTCGGCAGTCGAAA